GCTCTTTTTATGATTTGATGCATAATAAATTTCATTTTAAAGAACAACTAGCCATTCAAATTGAACAAAAAATATATATATCTTGTTTTTTCATTATTCTATTATTGTGTTTTACTGTATGAAAACATGTTGTTGTCTCAATAATGGCAACCAAATCACCGAAGCGTCCACTCATTGAAATAAATAGAAAAAAAAAACCGAATAAAAGTTGCTGGTATTAATATATGCTGAAAGTTGATACCGTTGGCAAAATAAAATCTATGAAGAAAATAAAAACCTTTTATATGAACATTTCAATACCATAACACTGTTACTGTAAAAGTATAAGGTTTATATGAAATATTACGACCGTATTGGTGCTGTCCATCCTGATCATCGAAAAGAACTCGAAACCTTAATAAACTAGCTTTATAATTAGATAATGACTTTCGAAAATCTCATTGCCTGTATAAACATATGTCCAGATTGCGAATATAACAGCGTGATTGAGTATTACAGAATTTGATTATAGATAGAAACCATTTAGATCTACCTTCAATAAAAACTTCATTGGTTTTTCCATAGCTCGAGCTGAACTAGATAAAAAATACCGACCATTGTGAAGTTTCATTTAAGTGGACCTGAGTTTTGCGTTTTTATTACGAATTGAGGGATCGCACCAACACTCGCTACATACAAGTTGTTCAGTTTTTAAATAGCTTTCAAAATCTCAAGCCATATCTTAACAAGCATAACTGGATTGAATAAAAAACTAAAAATAGTGTTCAAAGAATTCTCTATAATTTGCTCGAATAGATACACAATTTTATTTGCTCAACATTGAATCGTGAGAAGCTAATTATTTGAATCGTATCTTGTAATATAGATTTGAAGTTTCTCCATCTGAAGAACATGTCAAACTCAGAATTAGATGAGAACAGAACACGATTCTTATACATTTTTTTTGAATGTTTTGTGAAGATGATGAGTTGTAAAAAAATTTTGTTTTATATGATATCAGATGAAAAGACGTCGGGAGTTTAATTTTTTGGATTTCTGAAAAATGAAGGTCGCTAACTAGTACGATTGTCGATTTATTAAGCTTATGTCTACTCTTCTTTTATTCTGGAGTAGCACTGGTTGAAGAATTTTTTCTTCTGACCAATTTTTGTTTGACAATCTGTTCCACTAGCATCTCTTACACAAATTTTTGAGTTGTTAGCATCAGTAAAGTTTTTGCGTGTCTAGAACACTCAATGTTCGTCAGGAATAGAAACGCATCCATTTCAAATACTATCGATCATTGTATTTCCAATAGTAGATTCAACTTTCTTTGCTTTTAAGTTCAAATCTTTTCTTGCGTGCACGACCGATGGCTAGTCATGCCAATGACAGAAAAAATATCTGTCAATTTTTTTGCTAAAAAAACAAGAGTTACTCATTGTGCAGTGATTCCGTTACACTCTTTTGAATGTAACTAAAATATTCATTTAAAAAAGTTCAATTAATTCTTTAACTAGAGCATAAAAATTTTAGCTTTATGCCAGTCATTGTTAGAAGTCGAAACAACGTGTTTTTGACTAAAAATAAATTATACGACATTGTCATCATGAAATCATCTTTATAAAAAGACTATTTTTAAAATGTAAATTAAAGTCTTAAGAAGAGATAAAACTAAGACCTCTTGTTATGGTTAATGAGCCTATAAAAAGCCGTGTCTTCTTAAATATAGACGTTTTTTCTTAATTGGATGAGAAAGTGTCCGCAAAGTGTAATTGGTATGCACGCGAGAAAAAGATGTTTGCATTGTGGAAACAAGCGAAAAATAAAAATAGCAAGATGATCATTGTAAATAGATCGATTTACGAGAAATTAGTATAGCATAATGTAACATTCTAGAAGGAGTTAACAATGTAAATTGAAAATTTCTTAAATCAATAGATTAAATTTGTGGCATATACATGTATTGAACATGTTTTATTTTCTTCTTCATTTTGTAATTTATTAAATCTCAATGAAATTCGATGAAAAAACTCGAAATCACATAGAAAGATAGTATGATCAATTGAATTCTCTTTGTCAAACACATTGAAATCTTGGAGCATGGATAAGATATATCCAAGGTTCAAAAAAAGTCACATCAGTAGTAAATAAAAATATTTTGATTCAAATAAAGCAAGAAGATTTCGATAGTTTTTTTAATCTTAATGGTTATCAAAAGAGATTGCATTCTTCTTACCATGGATATGTCAAGATATTTGATACAATGGACAAAGATGATCTTCACTATTAACATAAAAAATGTTAGACATTCTGTTATTTTTTTCATTTAATAAATCTTGTATTGATTCTACAATGCGTCAATTTTTCTCTAGTTGACTAAAAAAGTGTCCGCACTATGAATGTACCTTTCGAAGCAGTTGAATAACATACGATCGATTTGAAAAATAGTCAATTTATATATGTATAGCTACATAAATAAAACCTATATATATGTATGTGCTCCACACTATAGTTACATTCTTTTCACTTAATTTTAGTATTAGCTTTCGCTCCTGAAGGTAAGTCCTCATGTAGATAGATCGAAATAACTTTATAATACAGATTATGTCTATGTTACGACAAAAAACTTTTTATGCACATATTTAGATTCTAAAACAACCCTAATTTGGATAAATTCTCGCGATATTATCAGACAATTTAACATACAAAATATCTTAAGAATGAAAAGATGAATTAGAAACAAATGTTCTCGTATTCCCGAAAAGTTAATTAGATATGAAAAAACACACATCTACATCTTTTCTAATCTTCTTAAAGATCATTTTTAGTTATTCTTATTCATCCTGTCTACAAGCAACAATTCTTTGATTAAATATCTGTACAGACAAAGTTTTTCTTACTCATTTTTTATGTTTGAATTAATCTCATATTATGTTAAAAATACTTTTCTATTGATTGATACGTTAGCCACATTGTATAACTTCCAAATAATTTTCTGTCAAAATTATTTAAATATGATTGTCAACTTGAGTTAATTATAAAAATAAAACTTACATTGAGTTTATATAACATCTTAAATCAATTATTCTCTTGGTATCATATTGTCAAATGTTTTATTAACCCTTTGGCTGTCGACATAAGAGAAGGAAGTAACGATTTTGCAGAAAATTTATTCGTTTTTTATAGAACAATTCTATAGCATTCTTTAATAAGATGGTGATTTTGAAAACACATGGTGTCTAACTTTTGTTTTTACGCAAATACATTTGAAAAACATACATTATGAATGATTATTTTCATGCGAAGATAAAGCTCCTGACGTATACATGTGTTGGCAACAGCCAAAGAATTGATATTTGATGGTTTTATTCAAATCTTTCGTACATGAAAGATATTGATGACAGAAAACATCACAGGACCTGTATCCTGCAGGACATTCAAATAATCTAAGTGATCGTGATGCGATGGAGTTCTGATCTAGTAATGAAACTCATTGTGATTTTTCATTACTATCAATAGTAGTCAGGAAAGTAGATACCATATAAGCAAGCAATGCATCTATAGAAGGATTATTTAGCTGAGATTAATTGATATTTTATCAAAGAGGAAGACATTTATCAGTAAGTCAAATTGATTACGAATTATTTGCTTGCTCATACAAGAAATTCAACAAAATGCAATAAAAATAAAACTTGTCTCTTCTTGTTCATCTGTTCATTTTGGTTACATTTTGAATTCTATATTTTTATGTTTGTTTCATTGTTCCTTTCATTTCTGCTAGAAAAACATGTGATAAGGTTTATTAATATGATTATGTTGTAAATGATTTTTATATAAATAGTGTGTCCATCATACCTCATACACAGTTAAATTTTTATCCTTGTCAAAAACGCAGTGGCAAGATCGCCTTGCAGGCAGACTCTCCTGAAAAACAGGGCAATTGAATAATAATATCCTGCAGCATGCCAGGCAAGACAAAGAAAGTCGCTCTATAGCGTTCTATAATTCATGATGACTTGTCTCTTTGTTTTAATGCGAAATTCTTTGCAAGAACTTTGTTTTTCTTTCGATTATTTTTAATGGAAACAAATTAACTAAATACATAAAATGAGAATGATACATTAATGTACGGTTGTGGATTGTTGATGATTTGAAAAAGTAGAAATATCTATCGGCCTGTATGAATCCAAAGCTAAATCAGATGAAAAAAAAAAGTGATACTTTGTTAGTTCGTTTATAAGATGACATATTTATCAAAAAAACAAGAACACAGATATTTTTTTCAATGTCAAACAGTAAATCAAGTTGAAGCTATTTTTATGTTGTCATATTCAATTCAGTGGCAGGTTCTATGTGAAAAAGTATAACCGAAGTTTAAAAGAAAATGATAAAAAAAAAACATTCTGTTTTCAATCTTCATGATTAATCTAAAAAGCATATATACTAAAAGTTCACAAATACGTTTTTATTTTTTTGTATAACGGCTTTACATATGTTTTTCATCAATGTATGAAAATATTGATTAATCATCGATCGAAATGAAATTCTGTTTTGTTTTTTTTTTTTTTGTAAATAATAAACCATGAAAACACACTTCTCCATATTTCATTCTTTTCGAGAAGTATGAGTCATTTAAATTCATAAAAAAAAAAACTGACTGACACATACTTTAGAAGTGTTCAGAATTATTCATAATTTACTCATTCGTTTTGAAACTGGCGACCTCATCTAAGAAGTAATAGTAATGGTTAAATCATATGTTGTTTTGTGATTTATTTTCTTTTCTCATTACATAATTATTTTCAAGTTATAGATTAATAAGTATACAATCATTCTAGATTTTCACAATAGTTGCCTTCAAAAAAAAAATGCAAGTCAGATTAGTATTAAATTAAGAAATTACGAAGACTCATGTTTTGATTACAAAAAAAAAACTTTAAATTAAAAACTTGATTTGCATTTATAAAACCAATTTTCGAAGAACTAATTTATTTTTTGCAATAAATTTCAAACGAAATATGTCTGCTTCATCATACAATGAATTTATTCCTCATGAGTAAAATTATATTAATAAAAAAAAAGAAAAAGAAAAATAATTTTTTTTTTTTTCGTTCGAAAACTTTTCTTTTAGAGTTCAACAACATATTTCAATACCAAGTGTTAAACGAAAATTTATTAATAATTATGCATTAAAAACTGACGATCATACGATACATGTTTTACAATGGAATATTCTTGCTCAAGGTATTTTGTTTTGTAATATAAAGAAAAACAAATACCTAATGAATATTTTATTCTCATTTCTTTTCTAAAGCCTTATCATATTCTGAAGGTAATTTTGTTCGTGTTACAAATGAAACTGTAGCATATGAAACTCGCAAATGGCGAATACTTGAACAAATACTTATTCATCAACCAGATTTATGTTCATTACAAGAAATGGATATATATGATTGTTTTCTTAAAGAACAATTAGCTAAATATGGGTGAGTAAGAAAAGAAAAAGTGTGGATTTTTGTTTGATTTTATTTCTTTTTAGATATATCTGTTATTTCACTCCAAAGCCAAATTCAAGATGTTTGTCATTCGAAGACGATCTAGAAAATTTTAAAGGTCCAGACGGTGTCCTACTTTGTTATAAAAAAAACGTATTTAAAGAAATTAATCGAAGTAATTCAGATTTACCAAATGATGGTCGATATGGACGACAGGTATATATTCTATTGTATTGCGTTCTTTTTTTTATAAAAAAAATTAATTTATTCATATTTAGGTATTTTCAATTCTTGAATTAGAACATATACCATCATCATCTCTAGTAGTATTTATTGGTACACATTTTAAAGCTAAAAAACAATTTGCTTTATCTCGAATAAATCAAACAAATGCATTAGTTGATTTTGTAAATAAAAAATATACAAAAAAGACAAATATTATTGTAGCTGGAGATTTTAATGGTGAAATTGATGAACCGTTTTATGAGATTTTATTAAAAGCTGGTTTTAATAGTGCATATCGAGTTTTAATGAATAATCATGAACCACCATATACAACTTGGAAATTTAAATCACGAGAAGAAACATATGAAAAAGAAGAAAGTCAAACAATTGATTATATTTTTTACCGATCAGAGAGTTTAGTTCCTATTGCCTATTTAGAAGTACCAACTAAAACTGATATTGGTCCGAATGGTCTTCCATCAGCCAATTATCCCTCTGATCATTTAGCTCTTCAAACAATATTTCTTGTTCGATCGTAGTATTTGCATGCTATAATTCTTTTATAAATAAATATATTGTTCTTATGTATTCTTACATTGTCATGAAAATGAAACAATGCTTTTCTTTTAATATACATTTGGTCGCAACAAATGACAACAAATAGGAAAAAAAAACAAAACGAAAAACTCAAATACAAATTACAACAAAAGCATAAAGAAAAAGAATAAGCTTTTTTTAATAGTTCTTTTTTTTTCAATTTTTTTTTGTATTATTTTAATTTTCATCACAGTAAAACAGACACAGAAAAGAAGAAAACAAAAAAAAAACATACATGTCGAACTCGAATAATATATTCGCTTAGAAACAATCTGCATACAAGCAAACGAAACAAATGCACAAGAACAACAATATATAAGAAAACAAAAAAGAAAACGAACGATAGATTAACATCACCGGTCATGTGGAATAGAGTTTTATGAGATCTATCCTCGATTTTATTTCTATTTTTTTGCTAATACAAACAAATATATATCGAAGAAACCATAGATAACCATGATTTTTCAATCTCTCATTTCATTCTAAAGTTTGAAAATTGATTTTATTTTGATTTCGAAAAAATGTCTTACGCATCATGTTCATATTTTTTGGACATGTATCATAATCAATTATATGAATATAACGATTTTTTTCACATTGTCCACGTAATAAAGCACAATAATTTTTATATAAATATCCATCATCACCACATGCTGGGATGTTCATACTACATTCACCACTATGAGTAAAAAATCGTCGAGAATATTGACAACGAATGCAAACCGGACGTGATTGACGCGAATATACACAACGTTCATGTGGTTGACATAAATTTGCTCGACATTTATTTTCTATTTATTTTTTTAAAAAGCAGTCTTATAAAAAGCTGAAAGAAAAAAAAGTTTTAAATTCTTACCACAAGGACCATAGTGTGCCAATTCAGGTGTTCGACCTTCGACATCGGGACTAAGACGCATAGCACATATATTTTTATATGTGATACCGTTTGTACCACACACTGGTCCAGGATCTAATGCTGGATTGCAATGTTTTTTCGGATAACAAAATGGTTCACCAGTATTTTTAACTAATAAACAAACCGTATCATGTGGACATTGAACATTTCGACAATCTTCTATTTAAATCACAAAAAAAAAAATAGTTTTTTTGATTAATTCAATTTTAATTTCTTACTTTGACATTCTCCGTCATATTTTTTATACAAACCTGACTGTTGTTTAAGACATTTCCATGCTGCCATTGCACATTCTGAACTAAATGTCATATTGTTTGATGCACATAATGGCTGTTTATTATATTTTGATGATAATGAATCAGTTGAAGTACATGATTCTTCACTACATACACACATTTCTTCTCCATTTATCCATTGACATTCTTGACCAAGACCACAATCAACATCACACTGTTTTGGTGCAACTAGTATATAATTATATATAATATATTAATTCTATTAGAATTTTTTTGTTACTTACTATTTACATCACGACATTTTTCTGCATATTCATATCCATCAAGTTCTTGAAGAATATCATCCGAATAAAATAGACCAGTACATAGTTCTTCACTTACATTTACTTCGCTTATATCATAGCACATATCATTAATACGATGATTAAAACAATTGCCAGCTAAACAATAAAAAAAACATTTTATAATTACTTCTATTTTGACCGTTAAAACATGAGTCAACGATTTGTTGACCTGTATAATGTATATATATATATGTATGTCAACGTTCTGGAAACAGGAAGAAAGGAATATAGGTGCCCTGTTCTTTTTATTCATTCACACATCTATTGTTCCTTTTTTTTTCCAATCAGTAATATATCGGTTTAATGTCTCCTACTTGATCTTATTTCCCTTCACGTTGCGCGCATTGTGCCCTTGACCCACTACTATATATCTTCATCCACTCATTGTACATTTTGTGACACATATACATATGTACATACATGTCACTCAACGGTCTTGAATATCATCAATGTACAAGGGTCTGCTCCATGACAATGCGGATGAACGACGAAAGGAAGGATAAATAAATGAAGACATGAATCATTTTGAATAGATATGATATTCACAATGAAATGTTATAGAATACAAAAAAGAAAAAGAATTCTATTTGTTTATTAAAAATTTTAACAAAAACAAAAAATATTATACAATGATAATAATATAACATACCTTGTGTAATGATAATATATTGATCAAAGAGAATGAGAAATATAAAAGCTGTAATGCAAACGTCGAATAATGATTGAGAGGTCATTATAGTTAGACGAAATAATATAGATATGATTGAATAGAAACTTTTTTTTTATTGTCTTAAATGTATCAAGATAATACAGATTTGTTATTTCGACAAGAATGATCTATTTGTCAAATTGAAAGATAGTATAAATACTGATGAAGCTTTTAGCTTTATATCAAAAACGAAATGAGAGAAAGGCGATGAAAATGAGAGAGAGAAAAAGAGAGAGAAGAAGAGAGAGAGAGAATGAGGATAGAGAAAGACAGAGACAGGAAAAGGAAGAACAGTATGACACCTAAAACTGAAGACAAGAATATAACATGATTATACCGAAAAAAAAAAGATGAAAATATGTCTTTATCGGATAAAAAACGCAATATGAAGTTCACTTGTTAAATCCTGTTGACAAAAGAACTAACATGTCATGTACAAGTTTTTCTCTAATTATTAGTGGTTATTCTGAGCTAAATATCTTACTTTAAAACTTCTACAGGGAATAATATCATAAAAATGAATAAAAGATTATGTTTTAAATATAGAAAATAGACGTTCTTTTTCGCCTTCGATTTGAAAAGATGCACTGGCAATACTTTTATTGATCAATGGAATCTAAATTTATCTTGTTTATTTTTTGTGTGGGCGAATACGGGCACATTTCAATAGAAAATATTTCCGTTTCAACGAAATGATAACATGATTAAACTAAGTCAATCGTTGTTGTTTATCTCGTAAACTCCTTCGTTCAATAATATAAAGACGACGTCAGTTTCATTCGATCAAATGAGGTTTTTTTTCTTGCGTATGTGATTAAGTATGAATGTGAATCAAAGGTGTGTAACAACAACTAGCTGTCCGGTTGCAAAATCATGTTTTTCGATCATATGTTCATATGCATTGTATGCGCTTCAAATATCGCTCGCCTTTTCAACGATATTATGCAATATTAATGAAAAGAATAAGCGTCGCCGTAAGGCAACAACGGCGGTGATAGTGATGAGAGAATGAATCGTTGTGTCTAACTTTTTACACAAAGACGATGACGTCAGGAAGGTAAAACACTTCCGGTTCGTAAATCAGATTGAATATTGTCTATTTCATCTAGTGTCATGCTAACATAGATAATAATATCTACAAAACAAAAATGTGATATTAATGACAAAAAAGAAATATTAAAATCAAAAAATAAGAAATCATAGATTGAAGATTCTATTTCTTCTTTTATTTTGTTTTCTAATTTGCAACTACAATAGATTAGTTTGAATTCATACTGTCTTAATTCAGCTTTTTTTAATGTAAAACTATTTTTCAAATAATAACAGAAATGTTTTGTCATTTCGTCAACACTTTTACGGTGACTATTTGTCTTTATGTCTCTGACAGAGATGTCCTTGCTTGGTGCACAATAAATATAGAAACAGTAAATAAACAAAACCGAGTTCATTCAACAAGCAAAAAAATACTTTGACAAATGAAAGACACATATGAGACAAAAAAAAACTATATTATGTTTATTCAATGCCATTTGATGTTTCTCTTTTTTTATGGACTAGTTTAGCAACTATTTCTTTTTAAATTAAAGAACTGGTTATTAAACACTTGTGATTTTTTAAAATAAAATCAATGTTTCTTTTATTCTTGTTTTGAGTGTCTGTGTGTAACATATACGTTGGTGTCAAATGCACAAAAAAGTGAAATGCAAAACAGAAGTACATCAAAGTTCTTGTTGAAATAGATGACTGTTGTCATCGATACAAACTTATTTTGTGTTCTTGTATGACTTGTTTCATTTTTTATTTTTACTTTTCTTTCTTCGTTTTTTTTTTTCTTTCTTCACTTTCTCTTATGAAATCGTTCAAATATGAACAAAATGTATGTTGGTATTCATGTGTAATACAAAGAAATTTTACTGAGAGGAATTATTAATAGTTTCTTTAAGGGTATTAAACATAAGTAATTCATCAAAATGACATTATTTAACGCTCTCTTCTTCTTTTATGTCACACTATAGCCAAAAATAAAAAATAAGAAATGCTCCATGTTACGTTTTTTTTTTTACTAATTTAAATATTATCTCTGAACTTCATGATACTGTTTATTATGGATGATGCAATAATCTCTTTCTCCTGGAATTCGAGCCATTTATACGACCTCGAAATTACAAAATGTAAAGAATGATTGATGTGAATGAATAGAGAATGATGAGGATTAAAGTTCAAGGTAGAATGATCGAAAGCATGAACAAAAAAAAATGACAAGAAAAATCGATTTGCATCTCAAGGTTGAACTATTGTGTCCATCCATACAAAATAGTATTTCAAATATATATATACTTCGTCAAAGACCTTTGTATAAAATATATGTTTCTGACACAGTTATAAGACAATCAAATAACATACTTGATAATAAATTTTCATCATAAAATTATATTTACAGACATGATAATTCGTTAATAAAATCTTATCAAGAATAATACTGAATGATGTCAGATATAGTGTTAGAAAAAACCTATTGATAGAATATAAAAATTATGTTGATTCATTTGTAGAAGATCAAACAACTAATTTAGTTACTTGAAATTCACGAACAAGATCTTATTTTCGATTATTATAGATATCTTCACTACAATTAATGCATGCAACTCATATTATTGAACCATATCCAAATAAGGTACAAAAGAAGAAAGATCAACTTAAAAAAATATCAGGGTCTTTTTTTCAAGTGATGTTTGAT